ACGTCACTGGTTCTAGAATCCAATGTGGGCCAAAATTAATAAAATATAAATAGACATTTTAACAGTTTTAAATATGAAGAATCCGAGTTACGCAATGATGTTATAGTAAAAAGAATATCGATTTTTTTTTCAGACTAACAAACTGGTATTCGTCACATTAAGGATTTTTTTTTCTTTCAAAAGAAATCATCAATCATTTTTCTCATCAAAATTATTCAAATTATATACTAATTTCAATTTAATTACAAATTTTGTAAGTTAATTTAGTGAATGATATCATTATGTTCCATTTTCGAGTTTCATCAATGTAAGCTTTATATATTTTATAAAAAATTCATTAAAAATTACACATTTTACATTTAATCCTTAAATTAACTATATTTTCTGAAGAATTTAACAAAATAGCTTTTTGCTTCTGAAAATAAACATTGGTAAAATAAATAGGTACATACGGCTGGAAATTGATTTAAGAAAATATATAATAACAATAATAATGATGTGTAAAAGAACAACGTTATAGAGAACTACAAATAAAATTACTTACTAATTAATTCTATCATTATTCTATGATGTTCAACATTTTAATCCATTTTTTAAGCAAACTATTTTTTCTTTCTTAAAACAATACTAACTACTTGCAAATAATACAAATTAATCCTGTCATTATTCAATGATGTTCAACACTTTAGTCCATTTTTTAAGCAAACAATTTTTTCCCTCTCAAAATAATAATAATGATAATAATAATAACTACTTACCAATCAATCCTATCATTATTCAATGATGTTCAACATTTTAATCCATTTTTTTTAGCGAACGATTTTTTTTCCCTCTTAAAAATTTTTGTCAGACACAAATTGCGTAACGGCCTTAACCGCGTGGAAAAGTCATCGGTGAAGAAAAGAAACGAACTACAAAACAAACGATATTTTTCAAAATCTTACTGCTTCTTTGTTGTTGTTGAAATAACTTGTGCGAGAGAAAGTGAAGAGGACAGGAAGTTGAACCGGAATGAGGAAGCGACCTAGAGGAAACGACGATGAGTAAGCACGTGGGTTGGTAAAGGAAGTGGAATGAGAAGCTTGCCTTCTCTAATAACGTAATCCTAATCACAGTTATCTCTTGAAACGAAGGGCAGATTACAACTTTGTTTTGAGGGGAGGAAGGGGTTGTGAACAGTGAATCTTGTCTCTTACGAAAGAAAGTGTTTTGATTGTGCCTTTAGGCTGAGCCTGAGTAGATGGTTTTGCGAGAGAGAAAAGATGCCGAGAAACAGTGTCAGGGGTACAACCTCAAATATTTTTTTGTTTTTGTTTTTTTAGTTGATTTAGTTTAAAGAAGGGGCAAGGGAGTCGTAGCTATTGCTTCCGTCTTTAAATTAAAGCTCAGTTTTCGTGATCAGTGCTGTTAGAAAGGCAATGTAACAGTAGGAAAATATTAGGTGGTAAATATTTAAGCGAGATAAACTCGTTTATTGCAAGCCTCTCCAATTAGAACAAAAATTTCTTAATAAATGGCTATTTTAGTGTTAAAAAGCTTATGAAAAAAACTCTGCAGTTTCGTGCAAAATTAAAAACTGCTCTGGAGCATCAGACGGAAATTTTTTTGCATTTGAACTTTGTTTCTTTACTAGAACAGAACTTTAAAAGTAGTTGCCAGAAATCATTACAAAACTACGGGTTTTCTCTTCTTATTTTTTTAATATACTACACAACGTCTTTTAAGAAGTATAGTTTGTCTACGGTAAGAACTCCCCCCAGCCACAAAGTCTGAGGCAACCTGCTGCTATGGAAACAAGAATAGCGCATTTCAGGGAGGGTAGCTTCTCTCCACTCTAGGGTTAAAACAATAGACCGAAGAAAAAGATTCCAAAACCAGTCCTAAACAGTGACCTCACACCCCTACTTTTTATTTTATAACCGTCGTTGAACAGCCGACCCAATTTTTTGGGTTTACGACTACTAATGTTCAACTATGTAGCCTTGTAATTTTGAACCCAATCCAGCTGACAAGAGAACTCTTGGATCAAGTATTGAGAGAAATTTGCCTTCGTGCTTGACTTTTTTTATGAAACTAAAACGCATTTGCGTTACATGGAGAGGAAGACCACGAGAACATCCCAAGGTTAGCCTGACGGCAAAGGGACTCTAACCCATGATCCGTCTACCGCTGAGGATATTTCACGTTAGCACTGCTATCGGTGCAAGCCGGATGCGGAATTCGTATCGACCAGCCATCGCCGGGATCGAATCCCGGTTAACCTCATTGGAAGGCGAACGCTCTATCCCCTGAGCCATCGCGGCTCTTCGCATCCCTACTTGAAATAGTTATACCTCGTTACCATAGTCACCTCCACGGGTCCAGACGAATGGCTAGGGGAGTTCTTACTTTAGACAAACTATAGCGCACTACACTACAAACTACGAAAAAAAGTCACGATAACAGTAGTTTCGCTACTTGTAGCGCGCTACTTCCGACCACTGGTTGTACCACCATGCTATTTTAAATTGTATAATGTGTCTGTTATATTATTATTTTCCTCTATCATACTTCTATAAAATTTAAAAGAAATTTTGTTTTCAGTGTTAAAATTATCATGCAGGGCTGTAATCAATCGGGTAAATTATTTTTTAGCTATTTCATTATAAAATATTGAGCATTAGATACTTACTAAAGCTAACACAGAAGTAAAAAAAAATATTCCTATCATACAACACTTAGATAAGCCTAACTATACACCCACTTTATTCTTAAAATTCTATGTAGATCTGTTCTCTAGCAACAGTTTATCGGGGGTACGAGTTCTTATGCGAGATATCTTGCAACAAATTAAAATATCAAAAATTTTTATTTAAAAACAAAGCTAGCCATGAAAATTTACGATTGCGTATTTTTTAATTAGCTACTTTTTGCAGAGTTAACAGTTAATAATTAGTGGTGTCAACAGCCATTTGAGATTTTTAACTTTTGTGCAATTTTTTATAGTAAAAAATGCACTCATTTTTTTTATTAGTGGTACACAGCGTTACGAAAAGTGTAGAAAGGGTACACAAAAGTCACAAGTTTGGGAAACACTGCTCTACCAGTTTGAACCAAAATTAATGCTTGTTTTTTATAATAGAAGGAAGTTCATCAGCAGCTTAAGCTAGCATACTGGACAAGTTGATCATAAACAGATAATTTGTAAACATTAAACTTTATCAGTTTCTAAAACTGAAATATAAATGCTTGCTGCTATTTAAATTTTAAAGGAGAAAATACGTGTTTTTTAACATATATATACCCACTTTCCCCCATGTACCAATTTTACCTCATCTGACGCTACACATTAGGATTCGCTACTTTACCTTTAAGAAGGCAAAATAAATAAACTCTATCGAAAATTAACTAATCGTTATTGAGGAAGGTGGGATGGAAAACAAAGAATATTTGATTGCCGGAGAAAACGGAGGAAGCTTGAAAGGCAATTATCTGAAACGCTAACTAACTGGGTTTTCTCACAAGTGATTCAACAGCATAGTTTTTATTTCTTCTTGAATTAAATATTACTTTAGAGCAGTTAGAACGGGACTAGATTTTAAAAAGACACTTTTTTTTCTTTCAAACATACTAAAAAGACAAGAGAGTAGAAGAGAAAGTTTTATTTTTGTCTAGTCTAAAATAATAAAACGTAAGGCGCATCTACTTCTTAAAAACATGGGGGAAATTTTCAACGGCGATGGCAGTTTATTTATCACGAACGTGATGCTCTCTACGTTTTTCGTTTTGACAAAAACAAAAACTTCCGCCTTTTTTGTCTATTAGAAAAACGTCTTTTTCAAAATGTTTACTGCCTTCTTTTTAGTTCTGTGCCCGTTAGTTAAAACCGCTAAGTGGTCGAAAAGTTTAACTGGCAATAAAATGGAGACTAATTTCCGTACAGCACTTAGGCAACGATTGATTTGTACGGTCATGAAACGCGGAATATTTGTTGAAATTTGAGCACTCTAGTTCATCGGAATAGGGTCAAAATTTTGCTTGAAGATAAATTCAGATTGACGGTAAAATAGGATATAGTTTCTGCTAGTAGAGGCTAGGAAAGGATTTAAATTAACAAAAATATGAAATACTTAGATTGTGATTGCAGAAGTCAAGTCTAAAATTCATATTAGGGAAAAACTACAAGATATAGATCATGTGACATCTCCTAAAATATTCATAGCACATAGATACTGTTAATAGCTTCTCAGTTAGTTTGGGCCAGTAATTGTAATTTAGCACAATACAAAATGTAAACATTAAAAGAAAAATGTATATAAATAACATTAAAAAAATAATGGTTCGTACATAATTTAAATTGACATTAAATATTTTATTTTATAACCGACGTTGAACAGCCTTCGTTGAACAGAAGTGTTCTTTGGTGTACGACTATCAATGATCAACTATGTAACCTTGTAATTTCAACTTCTGGATTAAATTTTGGGACAAACTATATCCTTTGTGGAGATTATTATTTTTTTTTTTGCGTTCAGTGGAGTGGAAAACCACGGAAACCTAACGTAGTATCGTCAGTATGAGGATTCTAGCCACAGAACCGTCTCGAGATACTGAGAAGTTAGAGAACTTATAAGACGATAACTTTTCGTTAACTCACGGAACTTTCGATGTTATTTTTGCTGTTAATTTTTTCTTATTTTCTTGTTCATAAGCCATTGAAGAAAAGAAAAAAAAATTTCGTTCTAAAATTGTTTCAAAACAGTTTAACATAAACAAAAAAAAAATTGCAATCGCTTTACTATGATTACTGGTTACCCAATGGTCAAATGTTTTTTTTTTCTCCTGGATTGACTCTGATAAACCCCACATTTGAAATCATGGGTAGCAAAAACTGTCTCAATTGATATTTATCGTCGGATTGGTTTTCAAATCCTGCCTATGTACGTGTTTCAAGACGTCACAAAATACTTATCCTTCTTTAGTATTCATATTTATGTTAAAATCACGGTCAAGACAGTAATTATAAGTTAATAATAAAAAGAATATAAAAATACATAAAATTATTATGTAAATGCATTAAAAATGCCTGCTGATGAAAATATAAAAGAAAAAAAAGAACTTACCAACTTAATGCATAACAAAATTAAGAGTGAAAAAAAAAAAAAAGAATTCTAAAGAAATTTTCAAACAGCAGCGGTCGCCATAGCAACGCATGCAATGACGACGCATGCGCACTGCTTACTATTACTCTTGAACACAGTTGAAAAATGTGAAGACGTTCAAATATGGTGCGTATGCCATCAAACCCAAAATAACACCCATTTTCCCAATGGGTAATAAAAATTCTTGCGACTCTCTTTTCAAAGTTTTTATGACTGGTTGATATTTAAATAGGTATTTTAACTTATTAATGTTTTACAATGATTAAACATTAAACAAAGTTATATTTACTTTCATTATACAGAAAATGTCCGTATAATATATGCAATTAAAATGAATACAAAATTGTAAAACATTATTACGAATTAATTTTTTGTGTTTTTCTAAATTATCTCTTTGGCGAAAATTATTAATCGAGTTTTTATAGAATCCAAAAATTAAATAGAAATATTGGATAAAGGGGTTAATCGAATTATTATTTTTTTTTTACCAAAATTGTTTAAAACAAGTTAGAATATAAATTTCCGAGTTCAAAACATGCTGTTTGCTGCTATGAAGCAAAAGTAATGCAAAACGATACTAAAATACTTCCAACAGTAAGAAATATTTGTCTTTAAAAATTATTACATTATGTTGGAAAAAATTACATTGTGGATGAATTAAATCAAATATTTACTAACTACAACCATAAACTGGCCGTCCTCATATCGCCGACAATTATTTCGTCAACACGATCATTTCAGCGGTAGTTTATTTCGACAATACGATCACTTCGCCGACAGATCACATTGCAAAACCGACAATTACTTCGTTAACACGATCATTTCACACCGGCAGTTTATTTTTCTGACAGGATAACTTCACCGACTGATCACATCGCAGAACCATTCAGCGACAGTTTCTTTCGCAGACACGATCATTTAGCCGACTGTTCATTTCACCGACTCGATCTGATCATGTCGGCAAAGTGGCATCGGTGATATGATGTCACAAAAATGGTTGGCCTTTTAAACTAACAATAATAATAAAATTTCATTGAAATCACAGAGTTTCAATTGTTGAAAAAGATCCTTAATTGGTTAATATACTACTTATATAAAAGTGATAAAAAATATGTTATTTTGATAAAAAATAAACT